ATTCATAGTGGTCAGTGTAGGGTCTAAAAGGCTTTCACTAACACTAGTGTCAGCAGCGCACTCAGTCAAGGAAAAGCGGCTAGAGGATTTGAGGTAATGAGGTGTGTGCCAGTGTCAGCCAATCACTCCCCTGTGACTTGGATGGATTTTCCTTGTCTGAATCCTACAGAGACACAGAGAGTAACGTGGTGAGAGAGAATAAATGGACAGGGTGCAGCATTTATACGTGTTCGGCTTCGGACAGACCAGTTCTTCAGGTTTCTCAAAAATGTTCTTGGTGACTCCACTGAATTAGAAAATACATTTTGTTCAAATATTGAAAACATTGAATAGATGAAAAGTATCATCCTTATGTTGTCAACAACAATCTGAAATATTCTCCACACTTCACATCCAAATATAATACAATACAAAGCTGTACTGTAAAATGTAACAGTACCATAAACAACACCAAAATAAACAAACACATGTACAGACATAGATGACAGTAGCATAGTATCAGCCTTATTACTGTTTGAATGCTTCCACTAAAAGCCTCCACTCCCTGCTTCTGTTTCCCGTCATGCAACACCAGACATGTTCACCTGCAGTATCACTGGGTCACCCCAAATATATGAGAGAGTAAAAGAGGACATCATTATAAGCATTATTGATTATTATAAATAACTACTCAAACAAATATGAGTGAAATGCACTGGAAGTTAAATATCTGTTTGCACATTACCCACAGGGTGTTTTTGCATTTATAGGCTGAGGAGAAGTTTAACAGTTTGAGATTATATTGTGAACCTGCTATAGCTCACTCACTCTTGTTTCCAATTTCATTTTTCGTTTTGGGTCAGAGGACCTCTAAAAGAGACACACTGACATATTATCAACCTACAAAGTTGCGAAGGATAACAAGTTGGCAAATAATTGATATTTACACATCCAGCAGGCAGAGAGCAAAAGTAGCAATCATTTGAGTGAGTTGTGTTTCTGGCCACCTGACAAGAGTGAGGGGATGTCTTTTTCCCTTCACTCTCATTTTAGCTCTATTTTGGCATCTGCACCCTGAGAAAAATATCTTAGACTTAACTTGGTAAATGTTTGACTTTCTTTACCCAGCAGTTGCTTGTCTAGGCTGTCTGCTGTTTCGTGCTGAGCAGGTAGTGTACACAGTCTGTTTATCAGAGCTGCTGTGCTCAAAAATGGCTGCCTGCTGCTGCGGGAAATTAGTTAATGAGGAGGTTGAAACGGAACAGTAAATGTACCGATCATACACATGCATGGACCACTTATAAGTAATAGTGATTTGTAATATTTCAGATATTGCCAGGTTCTGTGTGCTGCAGACTGGCAGCTGCAGGCTACTCTCTGGGGGTAAATCCCACAAGGTGTTGGGGTTGTGTGCACCACTGAGGGAATGAATGCTAATTTATGGTAGACCATATGGAGGCAGCGACAGCGATGTTGGTAGGTGACCAGAGCTCAGAGGGCAACGCGAGGTTAGTGTTAGTGGACCGTGCCGTCATCGCAAACACTCATCTAGTTATTGTTTCTGATGCTTATTAAGCCGCTCAGCAGATGGACAATAATTTGAGCCATGATTACAATCAGAAGCAGTGGCTTGTAACTCATACTTAGCCAGAAAAGCTCATCTGGGGGACGTTCAGGGACAAAGGACTGCTCTGACCTCAGATGTGGCACTTTTATTTTCAGTGACATAAAATGTAGTATTTCGGTCCTGCCTTAGGCAGTGTTTAAATGCAACTTTTATAAGCTGCTCCTCAATTCAAGGCACGTTAGCCAACTCAGTTATCGACGGTGTTTACTTATGGAAGTGACATTTGCAACTTTATTTAATTCAGTCAGTTACTGGCTATTGGGATGACCTTTTGCTGGCTTCATTGGCAGGAGCCCATAAACCTCAGAGACTCACCAGCTTTATAGGCATTCGATAATCGCACAAGGCACTATTGATGAAGTTGTTTTGTGCACTACCTATGAAATGAATGGGGCAAGGAGCAAGAACCACAGCAGTGAAGTGACTACATAAACCTGATTAAGATATTTATCAAGAGAATAAATGAAAATGCGGCTCAGGGGCATTTCTATAACTTTGCAACATTCAAACATTTGTATTTATTTGTGTGTGTGCAAAAGTCAGTGTTTGCATTCTCTCTACAGCTGACCGATAGTGTCAGAGACCGTGATGGATGCATTCTGGTCTTGTCTGGTGGCTGTCTCTTGGAGACGCATGGGAGCTGAATGGAAGCCATTTAAAACCAGCTACCAACACATCCGTCCCTCACAAAGTTTTTGACTGATTTGTGAGAGAAAGATAGATGGTTAGAGAATAGAGAGAGAGTCTATTTTTCTTTATGGTAGTAAAAGGATCGAAATCTGGCTCCTCCACAAACATACAGGTTTGCCTCAACCATATTCCCTTATTTTGTCATCATTCTGAAAGCAATGATTAACAACGCTCCTCACATGCTCGCTGTCTGTCAAATCATTGGAGAAAAGAAGAAAGAAAAAACAACTTCTAGACCATATCAATTGAGCAAGATATGCATTTCCACCCATCGGCTCATAATCTTCTCATTAATTACATATATTGGAAAATCCTGAATTATTATGATTCATTGCCTTAATCCATCACTTCTGAGATGAAATTCCCGGCAAACAAATTAAATCAATTTGCCCACACGGTAAAATGTACTTTATATGTGGAAAAGAGACATTGAATCTCATTGGCATTCTCTACTTTAAGTTTGCCTGGGAGTGAAATCCATCAAACAGATAAGATGGATTCTCGTTTTTTTTCATAGAACAGCCGTAAGTAAACAATATGAAGATTAATCTGTTCTTGCAGTTTGTTCCTGCATCATAGGCAGTATGTAGAACAGACGACGACTCTTTGTCTTATTGCATGTCCTTCTGGGTGGGCAGGTCGCACTAATCTAAAGAGCAGAGAGGTTGTTTTATGCAACCTTTGCTTTGATATACAGGCTCAGATGTAACACATTGAGCATGCAGACAAATTGATTCGATCATTCAGTGAGAGGGGGGGGGAAATACACCCTGAGGTTTATCGTTTACGGCCTGCCCACGTTGATGCACATGCAGACGTATCACCAGGAGGATCTCCGAGAGTTGCAGTAAACCTGCAACAGTTCACACCTCCTATATCTACGCTCCACACAGCACAGATGGGTTCGTTGTGGTTCACTTGGCAGTCAGCATCATCTCAGCCTCATGCAGGGCTATGTGCTTTCATAGTATTTTGTTAAAAATCACACGTGGGAAGAAGAACAAAAATCCCATCACTTCATAACGCTCCAGACAGATTTCTCAAGTAAGCAGGCTTCCTGAAGGCATGCTTGAGGAAGCAAATGGGTATAAAAAAAAGTACATTTCACCAGACATCACACACCATAATGCCCGTTTCCTCTGATCTCGGCGTCCTGCCCCAAGGGTGCAATAAGAGTTTATTACACCTATACTCACTTTATGACCCACCTTCTACCCTCCACCCGCTCCCCTCAAGCCCACGCTAACTGTTATTGAAAACACCCAGGTTTGCTATATATCATTCCTGAGCAGCACGTTATGCTTTGTGCAACCTGGTTAATCACCACCAGCTCATATACGGGTATTGTCCAGGTGACATTGCAATAGCTCCACTTATCTAATATCTGCTTGGATGTGGAAGTGTTTAAACAAAATCCCATTTGTCTCTACACCCTGTGTTGCCTTGAGGCTGCAGGTATCATATGCATATGTATCCGCAGTGTAATGATGGGGAGTAAATAGGAAATAGAGAATGCAGAGAAGGCCTGTGTGTGGGGAAAGTAGGAAAAATTAGTTTGGCTTAGTTTATTGCTAGCCAGGAGTGGGGGATGTGTATAGCAGGATGTGTAAGGGACTTTGGATTCAAATGCAAAGCGCCAGTAAAGATCTTTCAGGGCGGAGGTGTTCGGAGGAAGAGGTAACAGCTCATGGGTGACAGTGTGACAAGAGTCAGGGAAGGACCTGTCACCCCTTCGTCACACTGATGGCTCCTCTGTCATCAGGCGCGTGCAGGTGGGAGAAACTACACCACCATGGCAATGCAAATGAAACTAAATTACAATACTTCAAAAGAAACAATGCAACTATCTATCTTCAATTCAGCTGCTTTTTTTAAAATACAAAAATATTTTATGATTAAAACCATGAGCAAGTAATGCTGTGAATGTGTTTCAAGCCCCGAAGGGGACTTTAACAAAATCTCTAAAGCGTCCACTATTTGAGGGGTTGGTGGTAGAATGTGTTTATGAAATATGTTGTTTTGTATAAGACAGACTTTGGGATATTTATGCTTTTCTTCTGTGTCTATGTATTCATATGTCTGTGTGTATGTTCATGCTAGAGTGGGCAGCAACATCTTATTGGGCAGATGGCTTGTGTCGTCATGAAGGGGAGGGGGGGGGAGGGGGGATAATGTGTGATGGGTGGAAATGGGTCTGTTTAATTAGTTGTCAAACGAACAGCCCAGCTATCCGCTAAAGAGCTTTCATGTGCCCCGAGGGGCGGTGTGACGTGCGGGTATGGTGCAGAAGAGGTCCAGCGACTTCCTAGTCTTACATGACCAGGCCAGCTGAGCAGGTGCTGCAGATCACTGTCCACGGTCTCATGTTGACACCACACTCTCTCTGAACAATTATTGTACTACACGTCTGGCACACGAAAACACATAACAGCTTTGTGTTTATAAAATCCCTGTTTCCATGCTGTGTATGCTTTATTTTACTCTACACAATAAAGAGCAAGCTATGTGTTGTTAGGCTTACAGACTACATTTAAATCACAAGTAAATAATTGGAAATTGACTCACAGTACAGTGGTCGATGTAAAAGATGAAAGTTGTAAGTGCAGTTGGACTATGCCTGTGTGTTTTCTAAGTCAAACCCTGTTGTGTCTAATATCTGTGTTAACACTGTCCTATCACTTTGTCCCTGTGCCTTTTTTTCTAGTATGTGCTGGTACAGAGAACAAGCTGAGCACCCTGTCGGACCTGGAGCAGCAGTACCGCACCCTGAGGAAATACTACGAGAACTGTGAAGTCGTAATGGGCAACCTTGAGATCACAAGCATCGACCGCAGCCGGGATCTCACCTTCCTCAGAGTAAGGGCTGAACAGTATCATACATTAAACGGTGTTGAATTGTAATTGTACTTATATGCCCAAAATTCTCCACTTGGAACTGACCAGAGACTTTTGAAAAAGCTTGCCTAAACGCTTTGGAAATGTTTAAAATTGCTAGCCTTCTTACAGTCATAAATTATGGTAACTACAATAATTATTCCAATGTCTGTAGTTTTCAGTACATACAAATATCAATCCAAACATCCACATTTTGCATCACTTTGTGTCTAAATCTCAGTAAAAAGTTCAGAATGTGAACTTTTTCACCACTGTCTTTTCATTTGACCTTGTCATCCAGAAAATGGCATATACTCAGATCCTTTACAACTAATCACCACTCAGATTAGGGTCTATAACCGATGATTAGCAGCGAGGAATGTTTTTGTTATCAGGGGTAATCAGACCTCTCCTCTCCAAGTGTCTAACTGATTGTGAGCTTGCACCATTGTGATCTGAAGCATAGAATAATCAAAATCCCTTTCAAATAACTTCATCTGCCTATTCTCCTTTTTGATTAACTGTGATTCAAAGACAGAGACGAAAAAGTGCTTTTGCACGGAACATGCATTTCTAAATTTTAGAAAACCATTTGGAAAGAGTTCAGTTATTTAGGAGCAATTTTTAATAATAATCTCATTACCAATCTAAGCATGTGAGTTAACTGATTCCTACAGTCAAAGGGCAATATATATAGGGAGCTGTGGAACATGAATGAAACATGTTGTTTAGGTGAGGGAGTTGAGGTGGAATTGCCTACGTGAATGCTTACTTCCATTTCAGTTTGATGGACACATATACCAACAGGGTGAGTGGGTGATGACAGGCCGGGGGTCAGAGCAGTAATATTGTGTTAATGAGAGGTCAGAAGGCAGCAGAGACATGAGGGTTGAGAAATTAGAAGGAGGGAGAAAAACATTTAATTGCCCAGTTTCTTTTGGGTGGTGTCAGCTGCTACTGTTGACCTCCGTTGGCCTTCCACTTCTCCAGTACATCAACCAAGCACTCTGCTCAGCTAACGGCATTCAACTCCAATTGATTCTAGTCAATCTGGGGGGCAGGGGAGCTCCCCTGGTGTTTCGCTAAAGTGCTGACTGCATTCAAGGTCTGGTATTGCTTTGCGTATGAACTGGGCTCAGAGGCTTTGCAGAGAAGCAGGATTGCGAGCAATCATTGGTTTTTCATATTTTACTCCTACCAGCAATGATTTGAAGTTTATATAGCAAAATCAGGTTGTTTGCATGAGGTAAAAGTAATGGGGTAACTCATTTTCTCTTGTGCATTTAGCTTGTATGGACACAACAAATCAAGATTGCAAATTGAATTCTAACCCTGCTCTGCATTGTGCAACGCAATACTGACAACACCCCCTGCGATGCAGAACAAAACCCAGATAATAATAGAAGAAAGAGCAAGCAATGGATAGTCAAATGCTACCATTATACTCCTGGAGAGGGAATAGGCCCCACTGACTCAGAGAAAAAGTTGTTATTGGGGTAAGACATGCAGATCAAATACCAAGTGCGATCGCTGCTTTACTCACAGAACCAATTTGTTCTTTAGAACAACTTTCACGTTTAAGAGTGTCTCATCCGTATAAGCTGATGTTACATGAAGGCATGTGGAGGTTAAAGTTGCTTTTGACTACAATCCCCTCTCTACCTGCGTACTTTTATATCAAACCAGCACTCATTTACCAAATGACTCCCTGTGGCGCCAACTTGTCAGGTTCCTCCACCTTTTCAGGAATGGCAATTAACATGGGTTAATTGAAGATGCTAATTAGGAACACAGGGTGCCAAACAGCTAGGGAGCAAGAGGGCAGGGTGCAATCTGTATTTTTAGGTAATATTATTATTATTATGATCAAAGACATTAATAACACGGTTCCCCAGGGATGGGAACACTTCACCTTGAGGTAGAGAAGAAAGAAGGAGTGAAGAGAAAAGTATTTTGCGGCGGCCTACCATACCACCTGTCTCCGGGAGGTGATTGAAACTGATGCCTGTGCATTGGCTCTTTCTTTTCAAGATAGCCGAGAGATTGATGGCTGCCTCCCAAAGCCCCTCAAACAGCTTTAGCAGTAAATAGAGTCCATCTTCTAAACTGCCTCCACGACAGATGAATCAACGCTGGCACTGTGATTAATAACTGCATTTCAGCACTGAGGCTTTCTCCCCACTCTCATATATGCACATTCAAACCAACAGCACAACAGGGTCTCTAACCACAAGCAGTGTTTACATCGACAACGTTTAAATCACTCCTAAATCCATATTTTCGTTCCCTCTCATATCATAAGCAGAACATACATTTGCATACTGAATGCATGCACTTTAAGAAAAGTAAAAGACACATCTTGCTCAGGTCTACATGTGACTTTTCTTTTTGTGAATGGGAATCAACACACTCTCTTCCCCTGTGTCAATTCCTCACATTTGCTCATAAACTGATTTGTGATTATGAAATATTAATTTTGTTCCCTCTCCTCTCCTCTAACCAGTCCCAGTAGGAACCCACAGGCTGATTTGATTTTGCCATTGCAACCATTAGTAAACATGTAATCCCCCCCAAAAATGTTAATGCAGTGATCCCATTGCTTATAGCGGCACAGCACCAATTCACTGATTTCCAACTTCTGTCCCTGTAGCAGTTGATACATTATTGAATCACTATTTACAAATGGAGACATTTAATGTATCCAAAAGGCTTCTGCAATTTTTTTTAGAAAAGATAAATGAACATGTAAATGAGGCCTAAGTATCATGACAACAAACATATTTAGATTTGTTGTTACAGATGCATCTTTTATTATTAGCATACCTCCTTTCGAAGACTCTTTGTTCCTTTAAATGCATCTTGTTTTTCCCTGAAACAAATCAACTTGCTTTATCGTGTTTCCTTTTTTCAAATAAGAGTACCTTTTCTGACAAGATGATTATCTAGAGAAAATATAGATATTGTGCAGTCCAATAAAACACAACCACAAACTAAAGAAATGTTCTTAAAGTGTACTTATTGGATTGAGGCAGCACAACCCTGTCTCCTAAAAATGACGTTCCCACAGAACTAAACTGCATTCTCAATTACGTTTAGCTAGAAACATATTTTCTCCCACGTTACGTTTGTTATGAACGTATCTTAAATACGGTTATTTTCTACATATCTTTGCCATTTATTGTCTTGCTTATAATAATGATAATAGTAATTTAACAAATATCATTTTAGAGCACACATTTGAAATCGACAATCGGGCTCGATATATGGTTAAATTAACACTAGAACCGCCAGAGATTTTTTATACCTAAAACCGCCACCTGGGTCAAATTGACCCGCTATTAGAATGCATTGATTTTCAAGGTAAAATGTTCTTTTATTGAACAGTGAGTTTTGATCGCACAGGGATGAAACATATACCAATATAATCTGTGGACTCTCAGGGCTCGACATTATAAATGGCCCGCTGGCCCGGAAGCATTATTTAGACACCGCGGCCAGCATAACGTACTTTCAACTTGCCCCACAGCTGTTTGCTTCGGAGCGCAGCGCGAGCAGTCTCCCGTGAGCGGGAGCGCACTCCTTCACTACAGACTGTCTCTATCTCTCTCTATCTCTCTCTATCTATAACTATCTATCAATATATCTATCCATCTATCTCTCTCTCTCTCAATCTATCTCTCAATCTATAAGGAACCGCAGTAGACAAAAGGCGTTGCTATAGCAACACGTCATGTTTATATGAAAAGGGGTGGGGTCAATATGACCCGCTGGGCGGAAATAGGTATAAAGGGCAATTTTTTGGGCGATTTCTTCAATCTGACTTCATATTGACCATTTTTAACAACATAGGGTGCTACATAAAACACTTTCAGGAAAAGTCACGGACTGGAAGACTTTAATATTTTATTGAAAAAAAGTTACACACAATAAAAAACAGCTCTGGGTCAAATTGACCCGATTGGCGGTTCTAGTGTTAAAATCAGTAGGCGAGGCTGTAATTTCGCCAGCTGTTACTCTCATGAGCGAGGCAGAAAATAATAGTTGTATCATGCCAAAAAGCTGCTGTGTCGGTTGTTATTGTCAATATTAATATAATAATAATTTATTTTTAATAGTCACACTCGATTTCGCCGATTTTCTTGTTGCCCCAGCTGGTCGACACCTCTTTTAGCAGAAACAAACATAAATGTATTAAATCGATGTTAATCCATGTGTGTGGTTGTGGAATTACCGGACGTGACGTTGTGCGATTGCGTTGCCAGGCAACAGCTTGGGTTCATGTTAATTTACAAACTCTTCAACTAGAACCCTAGTTATATTTAAAAACATTTTAGAAGGCCTCACAAAATACTTTAATGTAAATTTAAATTTAAATGTGAAGGAATGTGTGTATAACAAAATACATCCGCCATAAACAATACCGGAAATAGACGTAGGAAAGATTCTCAGCTCGGTGATTGGATGTTTTAGCCGCAATGCACATTGGGATATGGTGTTTATGCGATGTGAAATCCGAAAACATTTGAAAAAAAAAAAAAATACTTTATTCCAAGTGTGCTTGCTTTTCTCTTTGAAAGTCATCACATAACGGCATTGTAATACACGGTTCGGCTGCATTACATATTACACATCTACCGTAGTTTTTTATTTATAGAGCCCTGATGAGAAGACTTCTGGACAAACTGGAAGAAATGCCGCCAAAACTGAATACGTGACGTGGATCATAAATATATCAACAATTAAACAACATCTTACATTTATTTTCACAAAATACGTCTCCTTGCTTTATCAACACTAATTCGGCTGACTTTTATATTTGATCCAATTTGTAGATAGGCTATATTTACACCATAACGGTGCACAGCTGATAGAAAGGGACACCTAGTGGTTAAAGCACGTTATTAAAAAATATTAAGAGTATATACAAAATAGGGGGAAAGTAGAAGGTCAATGATAGAAATATAGAATAGAAAAAATCAAGA